CTGCAAGGTCTTCTTTCTTGGGTATCCATGTTCCTTTTAGAATGTTGCTCTTTTGATATGATAGGGATATCATATCCAGAAGTCAGTGCAAGTCCCTGCAGGTGAATTTTTTTGCGTACTTGAAAAATTTCTGCAACATTTTCAAATGCCCATTTTTAAACTGGTATGAAGATTGGTATGAAGATTATTGTCATTGTGATATTAATAATGTAATCCAATCGAGAATGATAACTGCCACAGAATCTACTTGGTACCATTTAGTGCTTCGGTGGTATGTTTCAATAACTCTTGTAAAGGACAGTGTTTTCAAGATCTGCCCCAGGAGGTTAATTCTCCCTTCCTGCCTTAGGAGAAACTCCTAAGCAACTGGTTCTTTCTTTGGTCTTCTAAGAAGTGCTGAGATTTTTTTTTATTTTTTTTTTTAAAGCAATTAGCACTCTGCAAAATTAAGTCTACAGGAGCTAATGAGTCTATGGGAGTATTTGTAATTGACTCAAATTATTTTTGTGTGTGTGGCAAGTTTAGAAAAGAATGGTAAATAGTTTTAATTCTTGACACCAATCCAGCTTTGAAATTTTTGTTTTTTGTTTACTTTTCAAGCTTTTTTCCCATTGATTTATGTGATAAAACCACTGTCTTTTGAAGGTCCCAATGGGCAATCTGTACCATACTTCCATCAAAAACTCAGAATATGGTAGCAATATGTGGAAAACTGTATCTTATATGTATAAGAATATGATAGGCTTCTGGTTTTTTGTTTTTTTGTTTGTTTGTTTTTGTTTTTTGTTTTTTTAATTAGGCATTTGGAGAAACATTAGAAAAGCAGTCTTAGCTATAGGAAAAGAGTGGTGTTTAAGTTCTAACAGACTGATGTTTTGATAATTATCCTCTACAGAGCAGAAAACTACTCCTGGCAATGGGAGCTGTCTCACTACTTTTAAGAGATACAGACATAAGCAGCAGTTGACCCCAATATCTGCTGAAGCTGAAGACCTTTTTGAATACTCTGAGGTCTCTGGCTGGTCTGCTGTGCATAACAGAGTGGAGCCCACTAGGGAGCTGTTTTGGTTGTTTTTTTTTTTTCTTTATTTACTTAACAACAGGACAGGAAATAACTGCAAACACTGAGTTCAGTCAGGCAATGACGTCCACATTTCTAAGCTAAGACAAAAGCCAGTGGGAACATGCTCAGTAAGAATGCTGGAAAAGGCAATGCATTTTGTATTTTTTTCATTTCTTCCATTGGATAAAGTTCTTAATCATTCAACGGGCACACTTCATATTTTTCTACTTACTCGGATCTTTCTTTTGGGCTAGACTATTCCATATGCAACCAGCTGTAAGCAACAGTAAAGCACCAGCCACGTGAACTATTATTATAATACTTAAGTATAGCAGTGGTCCAAAAATACTCACTTTGCGGTGGTGCTAATGTGGTGTTTCAGAAGGTAGTTACCCCATTTTCTAAATAACTTTCAAAACCAGTGAGCTTCAGTTTCCTGAACTTGGGAAGCAATAGATACGAGATGCTGATTTGAGATATTGTAAAGAGTGCATGTTTCAATAGGAGATGGTGGTCTTCAGACGCTGAAGTTCTTTGGCTTCTCAAGACCAGCACGTTTAATGAATCAGAGAAAGAAATAAGAAACATTGTAGTTTCCAAAGAAACTTACTGAGGAAGTCTAAGAGGGAAACACCTCTCCTACCTCCACCCCCAGCTTTTGGTGTTGTAACATGTACCTGTTAGTGTGTCCTGCTCTTCTGGGTGACACCCAGCAGACTTTCCTATCAGCCCGTGCCCAATTCGAGAAGCACAGTTCTTGTGTCATCGCTGGCCTGTCTCCCACCGCAATGGAAACGAGGTTTTCCATCAGTAACGCTGTGGTATGTGCAGTGACATGTTCTTTACTGTCAAGTAAAGAGAAATCAGACCGTTTCGAAACAAAAGCCCTTGAGGGTTAATATTTATGTATAGATGGAATATATAGATATATTAGATAAGTAACTACAGCACAGAGCAAACTCACAGATAACCCCAAAACACAGAATTCTTCATGAATCCCAGAGGGAGCCAGGATTAACATTCACTTTCCCAAGGAACAGTCAGGCGTTTGGTGCTCACTGTTCCTGGTCAGATAGTTGTTACTGTGAAGAAAAATGCCAAGATGTGACTAGGAAGCTCTCACTGAGGTAGCAAAAGCAAAGTACAACAAACCACATTAAACACATAAGGGGCTTAATATTTGAATTGATAAATGCAAAATAATATCTTTCAAAGAAGACCAGAAAAAAAACCAAATATATATATATATATATATATAAATGATATTGTATAATTGTCTTATTGGATGAGAGATCTCTTCCATGTCTTTTCAGCCATAAAAGAGTAAAGGAAATTTTTTTTTGTTTCTTTTTGTTTTTTTTCTTTTTTTCCCCATAAGAAGTCAAGATCCCTAGATACTTATATATTGAAGGGGATGATGCTGCAGCCAGAAATGCATGTGTCTGCCTGTAAGGACATTCTGTGGCACGTTTATTTTTCTGCAGCCAGTTTCTGGCCTCAAGTCCATGACAGTGCCCTGTCTATGTGAGAATTGGTTCTCTAGATATGCGTTTCCATAAGCACTATTACCAGTAGTAAGGTGCAGAGGAAGAGGTGTCAGTGAAAAAAAAACTATCATCTCTCAGTACAAACTTCTTTTTGAGGATAAACTTCCTCCCTTCTTGCATTCCAGGGAACTGAAGGCTGTATCTTAAAATCTCATTGAAATAGCTTTCAATTGGTAAAGCAGAACCAAGAATGTGACATAGACATAAGTTACAGCTTCCCTACAGAAGCTGTTGCAGCTGCAGAGGGAATCTGAACTTAGTTGTTGACACAGTGTTCTCGAGAACAACAAAAGAAATTGTGTTCATTAGGCCAACCCCATCATTCTTGCTAAAAGCAGTCTCAGGTTTCCATGTATATTTTCAAATCAAATTGGAAATGCTGCTCCTGAGACCTCCTTTAGCAGGCGGTGACAGATTGCACAACCTGATCAACAGTTGGCATTCCTAGAGATGTACTGAGGTACCAATAGCCGAGTCTCCACAAGTGGTGAGCTAATAAAAACACGCACAGAGCAATGTCTTTGAATTAGCACGGAGCTTTCGCTCTTCCTGTGATAATACAGTCCACACCCAGGGAGCGGCCACTTCTTGAACAGAAATGGGAAAGGTTTGTTCCTCGGTTGTTTTTGAAGAGCGAGGCTATTATTCAGACCTGGTGGATTTCCTCTGGCTGGTATTTTATCAGCTATAATTAAAACAGCCACCTCCTTTCAGTCAGCTCTCAGCACATACTTACGCAGCTAGATCGACAGCGCTTAATCCCACTGTGAGAAGCTTTGTAGCTCTACCTGTTTGTTACCTAACTCAGCTGTAGGAGAAAGCAAGAGAAAAGGAAAAACAGGCTTAAGGAACTACTTAAATTCATGCAGTTACAGAAATTAAATTACTCAGGTTTCCTGCTTGCACTGAATCATCTTGTGTTAAGGCCAGACAATCAGTGCAGCAGCTACACACAAGGTCTTAAAAGAGTTCTCTGAGAGAAACTCAACAGAAAGCGAATAAATGTGACTCTCTGAAGGGAAAAAGTGAATGTATCAGTTCCCTCCAGGACAAGCGAATGGCAAGCAGTGAACAGACACACTGTGCTTTGAAGAGCAAACAGTTTTGCTTCTTGTTAGGTGTCTCTGCAGATGTGCTGTCATTCCTACAGCTTTTCTTCAGTGCTGCTTGTCTTCAATTGCATTTTTGGCAGCAAAAGTTACTTTGCTAATTCTTCACAGCAAAAGCAAGACTGCCTTACAAAATATCACAAGGGAAGGCTAAAAAGTGATACAGGTGCTACTTGAGTTGCAGCCTACCCCGGTGTTTCTCAAAAAACTTCATTTACAAAATTTTGTTTTCAGAGATTTAGAAATACCTAGGTTGTATCTCTAACCCCAGCACAGAACTGTCTGGGAGAAATATGCACTGAAAACATTGGTTTGTCTGATTTGATGCAAGAGATGGGAAGAGCAGCACATTGCCAAACTCTAAACTTATTGAACCTTTGGATTTTCTTTCTTTTCAACTAGCGTTAAACGTGGGTATGGAGCAAACCCCTCGCTCTGCAACATTTCCCCCTGCACTTTGATTCAATGTTCACGTGTTCACAAAGCAGGTTCAAGTTGAGGTTCAGTCCTTTGTTCTCAGAGGTTTGCCTGGCTGTTGCCTCGTACTATCTGCCTCTAAGAAAAACTGATGTTATCTTCTAAAGAGAAAAGTCAAGATTGTATTTGCTACTGAGAATTTCCTGTGTGCCTGCTCCCAGCCCGTGCACTGACAGCACAGAGCAGTGGCTGTACATGGCTGCGCTTCTTCACACAGCTCTCAAAGCACTCCTTGCACGGTAGCTGGAGAAATCCCCAGCCGCTGGTCCCTTTGATCTCAGATAAAGGTCAACCTGTCTAGCAGAAAGCATGATCGGAAACGCAACCTCACAACCTCCTTCACTTTCTCTTTCCTACCCTGGAATGGTTCACTGTGTCTTTCAAGGTGTGCCTGCACTATCGCAGGTATGATTTTCACTTCGGCTCTTTGGAACAACTTTATTTCATGCCATGTTTCAGACAGGGCTGCCGAGATTTCAAGTGAGCTGATAGGAAAATGTCCAATTATTACAGCAGTGCTCACAGCTATTCACAGTGCTGGTGAATTCTTCTCCTCAAAAGCACACAGTTTCACTGCACTCCATTTCAGAGATTCCCTGAGCACACTGTGGGTCCTGAGCTTCCCAGCACTGATAGCTGCAAAGTACTTTCTTGTGTTTCTGACACACACAGGCCTTGGAGCTGCAGAGCCCAGCTCTTCCTCACAGCCTCTGCAAGCTTCCCTCTGCACAGCACGGGTTGACTTACGGCATGACTTACGGTTGACATGGCATGACTTACACGTTCTACAGGTAAGGAGACTGGCACAGCAGTTTTGCTTCTAATTGTATCTGGCTTTAGATGCTAATCTGCATTGTTGTTTTTTTAATTGCTTTTAAATTCCTGTATAACTTTATAATTGTTGTTACAGCTGTGAAGGTTCATAGGTGACTGACAAATAACTTGTGCAAAGATAAACACTTTCTCTGCTGAGTTTCCTCAAAGCCGTATTGGCTTAAGATACTTATCACCAAAGAAGATGAGTGATGGGAACAGTAAATATCGAATTCTTCAAGCACAGGCTGTTGGACACCTGTTTTGTCTGAAATGACACCGTGTGAGGATAGATGGGACGGCTTTTGCTTTTTGCAGATGAAGCAACCTCATACTGCTGAGGAGGAGGCGTGAGGTGCTGATGTGTGGTCTGAGAATGCATCCCCATTCTCAGTTGGGATGTGTGCCTTAGCATGGGCTAGATGTTGCTTAGAGGGATATATAAAGGTACTCCTCGGTGGGATGGAAGCACTGTTATTAATTACAGGTAGCGGGAGGATCACAGTTCACCTTTACAGAGGTGTGGTTCACAATCTATGAAAGTCAATCAAGTGAGTTAGGAAAGTGTGGATTAGGAAAAATAAACAAACAAGCAAACAAAAATGAGCCATCCGCTACCAGGGAGAAGCACTACAAGACTGCAGAATGAGGAGATTATCTGTAGTTATCCCACAAGTGAAAGTGGAAATAGGGGCTGAATCATGACTATCAACGATCATTCAGTCTCTTGAACCTAATTCTCAGAGGTTTGTCATGAGGATTAACTCTGTGCATAGAGGGCTGGTCTCTATTAACTCCTTTAATTGTCAGTATAAGAGAGAGGCTCCCTGCAGGACAGCTTGGATTCCTGTCTATCTGTCAATCCTCAAAGCAAGGTTGTGCCAGGATGTAGTCATAAGGTGTGTCAGTCTTCTTCCAAGTTGCCAACTTATTCTCCAGAATTCTAGCTCTCCATTTTCTAATGAAAGTTTTTACTGCTATCATTTCCAAGAAAAATCTGAGATGACTTGCAGGAGATGCAGGCATGTTTGCTTGAATGTGTGGAGAGCCTCCTGATATATCTGGAGGGTTTTGCCTTGTTTCAATGGAGTGTTAATTCTGGTGCCAAGTGATAGTAGACTGTTGCCAGTATTTTTGATTATTTTAGCGACCCATTTAAGCCCTGTATTGTATTTCTAAAATTAAGCTGTTACGCTTGGCATAGCTTTTTAAGGTTGTACCTGCTTTAGCGATGTGCAAAAAAAAAAAAGGTGTTTAGCAGTGTTTTTATAGCAGTTTCCTAGGAAAAAAAGCACTCTGCCTCCTAAGAGAAGACAGCTGGTTGCTAGGTGCAGTATTCTTGGCTGTATGGCCCCAGCGGCATGGTTACCTGCAGTCTGCCTGCAGTTTGCCTCCTGCTGCCTCTGGTGCTCCTGCAGTCAGTGTTGCTATTAGAATTACTGCATGGAGCACACATACAGAAATGCTGCTTCTAAAGACATCTAAAATGTAGTGTACTGGCCTACAAAGCACTACAGTTCCACAGTAATTTTTGTTGTTCGGCAGGGTTTATTGTTATTTTGAGCAGCGATAGGTTCCACAAATTTCAGATGGGGTTCAGTGACAATAGCTTTTTGCTTTCCGCTCACAGTGGTGAGCATGGTTTGGGTGGGCAATCACTGCCTAATTCCCCTAGCAATATCAGTGATGAATTGGCCTATCTTTGTGGCAGTACCTAAGATTTTCATGCTGATGTCACTGAAACCTCTGTAGCTGGAAGACAGTATTTGTAGCTTGTGTTTATCAGTTGCCTGTTCTTACTACTTCTAAATTTGTAATTATATTCAGTATATAACTTTAATGCAAAAATGTTTTTATTTCATGGTTGAAGCTTTTTTTTTTTTTTTTTTTTTGGTACAGTAGCAGAAACAAAAAGTGTAGCCTGGACATTTTCTTCACAAGCCTAGTGAAGATTAATGCAATTAATCTAGATTAACTCAACCTTAGATTAAGATTAGTTAATCTTAGAGTAATGCAATTGAAGCGTGAGAGTGTGGTCTGGGCAGACAGAAGATGTGACAGCAAAATACTTTTGTACTGGCACTGTAACAATGATTTGCTTTTGGGTGAAGGTTCCTAAGCTGCTTTGCGTATTCTTAATGTGTTTTTATTTTTTGCTTTGGGACAAAATGAGGCAGAATATCAGTCTCCTGAGAAAGACTGCAAAAAGCCGATTGCAGTGCTCCAGGCTGGGGACTTCGGGCATGGTTACCCAGGTACTAACAGTCTCACACATCCCACTATGTTGCGTTATTGTTTATAACTCTCCAAATGTTGATTTCTTTTTCTATCATTTCTTTTTCTCGCAGAGAGGAGATGGAGTCACCATCCAGAGAGGACCACGTGGACCTGGCACTGAGGGACATGGTTAGTGGCTATGGTGGGGATGGGTTAATGATTGGACTGGATGACCTTAGAAGTCTTTTCCAACCTTAGTCGTTCCATGATTTTTCTCTGTATAGTTGCTTTTTAATGCTCTGTAGTTACTCAAACAATAGCATGTATCAGAGAGAGCATTAAGCAAAGGCAACAATGGCTTTGAAGGCATTGCTGCGCCCTCTCCATCATCATAGTAGGAAGGCCACAAGTGCCAAACTTCCCATGTATATCTGCAGAGCCAGGCCTGGGAGGGCAGTGAGGGCTAGGAGTGAGCCCTGTAAATCCCCAGTGCTTCAGTACCTGCCCGCAAAGAGCGGTCTTCCATCCAGTGGATGGGTACAAGGGTAACGGATTATAAGCATAATGCTTTCTGAAGTCATTGGCTGACGCAGCGCAGCGGGGCACGAAGCTCCGGACCCTCCTGGGCCGTGCAGTGCCCTCTTGCAGGGCGCCCCCTGCCGGCCGGGCGGTGCCGCCACCTGACGCTGCGGGCGGGGCGGGCGGGCGGCCTCAGCACGTGCCGGGAGGCGCTGGGCCGGGGCTGTGCAGAGCGGCGCCGCGCTGCCCCGCCCCGAGCTCGCCCGAGGGCCGCGGCGGGAGGGAGGGAGGGAGGGAAGGAAGGAAGAAAGGAAAGAGGGAAGGAAGGAGGGAGGAGGCCGGCGGCCGTGACCTCGGCTCGAGCGGCGGGAGCAGCTCCCGGGAGGGCGCGGGAGTCCACTCCGGGATTTCGGGGGCGCCGCGCGGTGACACATTGACATCAAGGGGGCGCGGCCGGGCGGCGGGCGGGGGCTGCGCGCTGAAAGGCGGCGGAGCGCGGCCGCCCTCACTCCGGCACGGCGGCGGGACCGGGAGGGCGCGGAGCGGCGCGCGGCTGCCTGCACTGCCCGGGCTGGACCCCGCGCCGCGGCCGCCAATGTGCCTCGGGAAGCGGGCTGCCTCCTCGCCCTCAGGTGAGCGCGGGCGTGCGGGGCCGAGGCAGGTGCAGGGAGGCCGCGGGGTGCGGGCGCGCTCGCGGCGTGTCAGCCTTCGGCAGCGGGCACATGGCAGCGCAGCGCTCCGGGCTGCTCCGCGTCCGCGGCGAGGACCGCGCGGTGCGGCGCAGCGCCCGTTTGCAAGGACCGCGCGCGGCGCGGGGAATGAGCTCCGAAGCGGCGGAGGAAGAGCGACCCGCAGGGTCGGCTCAGAGAGCCCGGCTGGTGCAGAGCGCCTGCAGAGGGCTTTCTCGGCGCGTTGACGGCCGTGCGGTGCGCTCGCTGGGTGCCGCCCGACGCGGCTTCGTGCTCTGCCCGCCGGGCGCGATCTGTGGCAGCCCGAGCTGCAGCCAGCGGCGCCGTCAGCGGCGGCTGCGTGGCGAGAAGCACGTTGGGGACTGGTGTCTGAGCCGCGGGGAGCTGGAGGCGGGGGCCTGCGGCATGCACGCGCCAGGAGCCGAGCAGGTGCCGCCGGGCACGGGCACACGCGCGCGCCCCCTCCGCCTCCTGCAGCACCGCCGTGCCCCGGGAAAGCCGCCGCCAAAGGGGAGCGGGCGGGAGGGCGCCCTGACAGAACCCACGCGGCGGGAAGCTGGGGTCCGCTCTCGGGACGGGACCGCGCTGCGGGGCGGCTCTCGTGCGGGACCGAGGCGCCCCGAGAAGGAGCGCACGGCCGCCTCCTGGAGGGGCTGCGCGGGGCCCCGGAGCCGGCGGCGGGGAATCCCCGTGCCGGCGCTGCCGCTTTAAACGCCGGGAAGTCCGCCCTCGTGAGGCGGCGGCGACCTCGGGCTGCGCCCTCCCCCCGCAGAAGGGGGGCAGCCCTTGTTTTCATTCATAACTTTTTTTTTTTTTTTTTTTTTTTTTTTCCCTTTTAATTCCCCTCCTCTTCCTTCCTCCCCGCTCCGCTCGCAGAGGGCGCCGCGCGCCGCCCGCCCGGGGCCGCCCGAGCTCCGCGGGAGCGGGGCGGGACGGGGAGGGACTGGAGGGGGCAGCGCCGCGCTCTCCTGCCCGTGTGCGCTGTGTTACTTCGTGCGCCTGGCCGCAGGCGGGGGGGCGGCCGCTTTTGACGCTGGAGGTTGACCTTCTCCGCCGTTCTCTCCGCTCCCGGCCCGCAGCTGGTGCTGTCAGTCCGCGTCCCCCGGAGGAGGCAGCGGGGGCTGTCGCGTTTCCTGAGGAGATCGCGTGTTGCTCCCCCGGGAGCTCAATTCGGGCTGCCGCAGCTGCGTGTGCGTCTCGCCCTTCTCACCTCCCTTCACGCTCGGTGCGTGTCGCGGGTTCGCGTTCGGCTCCTGGGAAGAGCGCGGCTCGTGGTGTGGGATGAATTGAAAAGAGCGCGGTGGCGTGGAACCGTTTCATATGTTTTTTTCCTTCATCTGCTGACCCTAAATATGAATTGCGATCTTTACCGGGCAGACGAGTGCGGGGACTTTTGAATCCTTATGAACGGGTACCGCTTCTCTGAGTGGTCGGCAGCGGACATGCATCCCCACCTGCTGCAGCGAGCCTGCCTGCCCTGCGCTCTGGGAGCGCGACGTGCTCCTTGCCCTGGCCGCAGCATGTGTCCTAGTGCTGCCTGTCCGCTCCACTGTGCGTTTGTGTGTGACACCTCGTGGGGGTGAAAGGGGAGTGAATTGTCCTGGGCTTTCTTTTAAGCGGAAGCAGTTTATTTTCTTAGCTTTATGTATAAGAGCGGCAGCTTTTACGTGGGTCTCGTGCAGCTCTTAAACGGGTGCAGTGCTGTCACTGCAGTTTTCCTGGTCAGCGTTTGTAATCTTTGGGTCAGTAGTTGAAAGATAAACTGTGAGGGTTGTGTTTGGGAAGCTTTCGGTTGGTTTATCTTGTACGAAGGGATCTGTTCATCCACTTTAGCTAGAGAGTCAGTGAAGAACTTTATTATAGCTTAGATTAGCTAAGACACTTAGCTTGTCTTATGCTCTTGTATCCATATTCACACTCTGCCCTTTGGTGAGAAAGTATCTGAAGGTGTTAATTTTGTGAGGTTTGGATGCTGAATTTCTGTAGGAAATGCTTTGTCCACCTGACTTACTCTGAGGCTCTGCTGTGTGCACACTTGCTTCCAGGAGGAGCTGTACCCAAATGCAATAGAGTGCAGATCTCTTCAGCTTTCTTGTGCTGTAGATCCAGGCAGAAATGCAAGGATTGTGTGCGCCCTTCATTCTGCCAGCAGAGCGCTGAATTGACAGTGCTTTTTTCCCCTTTCCAGCTTAGTTTTGGGGGCAGGCAGAACTGTGTTGCTAAGTAGACACCAAGTTCGGTAGCACGCGAGAAGCACGCACTTGTATGGCTTGCCAAGTTAGTGCACAGGTTAATAGTGATTTTTATAGTTATTTTCTTTCTGAGTTTTCATTTTAATGGCGAGGGGTCTCCTCAGGCATTCCTCACCTATGATGCCATGCCCAGGCTCTCCTCGCTGCTGGACTTTGGCCAGATCCTCAGCGTTGCTGTAATCCCCTGCTGAAAGAGTTCGGCACCAGGTGGCTCGGGCAATTTGTGGTTTGCTATAGCATTTTTATTTTCAGACAGCATCCTGTTCTTTGTTCCTCTTTTGTGCTTGATCTTGTGTATGCGTGTATATATGTACACAAGCAATGTTTATTTATACCTCCTGTCTTCTGGTTATTATTCTAGGATTTCAGATGCATGCCAGGTTCCTGCTGAATGCCAGAAGTAGAGATCACTACAGATGGAGCCCCAAAGCCAGCACGGCAGTGGTGGTTCGCTGGTGGTGATTCAGCAGCCCTCTCTGGACAGCCGGCAGCGGCTGGAGTACGAGCGGGAGAGCCAGCCTACAGCTATCTTGTCGCTGGACCAGATCAAGGCGATCCGCGGCAGCAATGATTACACTGAGGGTCCATCTGTGGTGAAAAAATCCGGTCCGCGGACAGCACCGAGGCAAGAGAAGCACGAAAGGACTCATGAGATCATACCGATTAATGTGAATAACAATTACGAACACAGACCCAGCCACGTGGGGCACGTGGCACATCAGCATAATGCGAGGGTCCCTGTTTTGAGCAGATCAACCAGCACGGGGAGCGCGGCCAGCTCTGGGAGCAACAGCAGTGCTTCTTCGGAGCAAGGACTGTTGGGACGATCACCTCCGTCATGGCCAGGCCACAGGTCCGAGCGGACAATCCAGACGCAACCCAAGCAGTTGTCGCTGATTGTAGATGATCTGAAGGGTCCTTTGAAAGAGGACTTGACGCAGCACAAGTTTATCTGCGAACAGTGTGGGAAGTGCAAGTGTGGTGAGTGCACAGCCCCCAGGGCCTTGCCTTCTTGCTTGGCCTGCAACCGGCAGTGCTTGTGCTCGGCGGAGAGCATGGTGGAGTATGGCACCTGCATGTGTTTGGTCAAAGGGATCTTCTACCACTGTTCTAACGACGATGAAGGGGACTCATACGCGGATAATCCCTGCTCTTGCTCCCAGTCACATTGCTGTTCTAGGTACCTGTGCATGGGAGCCATGTCCTTGTTTTTGCCTTGCTTGCTCTGTTACCCTCCTGCAAAAGGATGCCTAAAACTGTGTCGAGGGTGTTACGACCGCGTCAATCGTCCGGGCTGCCGATGCAAGAACTCCAACACTGTCTATTGTAAACTGGAGAGTTGCCCCTCCCGGGGTCAGGGCAAGCCGTCATGATTTTTGGAGGGAGGTTTACTTCCTCCAACTTTTGATTTTTCAGGTTGTAGCTGATATATAAATATTTTTTCTTCCCTTCCCCCCTTTAGGGGTGCTTGGGGGGGGGCTGCTTTCTTTCACCCCCCCCTCCTTCAAAAACACAAGTTATTCCCTTTGAATCTTTGTTCTCCTCCTGTAATTGAGTCAACTGAGTGTGGAGTGTTTTACGTATAGTCATTTGCTGCTCTTTGGTAAGTGTGGACTTGGTATCTGTGTCTGCCACCCACTTTGGCAGGGTCTTCTGAGTCTGTAACTGAACCACTCCTGAAAGAGACAGTGAGGGCTAATTTGGCTCTTGCAGCTTCTTGCTCTGAATATCTTCCCAAAGATGTTTTTCATTCTCAGCAATTTATGTTTTTTTTTTTTCCTTCTGACCCCCTTGGGTACCTCCACGGAATAACTCTCATGAGTGAGCTGGATTGTGAAATTCTTGTCTGTGTTCTTTCCGGAGAGAGATGTAAGGCTTTACCAAACGAAAGGCCTGATTCTTCAGTAAGCAGCCTGCTTTCTGGTTTGTTTGTTTTCCTCCTTTTTTGACTTTTGCAATATTCTCAGTCCTGAGAGTTAGCCAATTGTTCCTATTGCTTTGTTTTTAATTCTTTCCTAACACAACTTTGGTTTTTGCTACACTGTGTAGATCTTCACATTGGAGACATTATGGCTGCAACTGTACTTGTTTTTCTCTTGCTGTCAGATGTTTGAAGGATATTGCTCACTCCACCCTTCTCCTGTTGTTTTAGTCCATCAGTATCATGCTGATATTAAAGTTGGTGGTGTTCATGTATCCAGACAGCCTTCAGGTGTCATTGAGTCACCTAAATGTTCTCGAATCTTTAATGTTTCTCGTGATCCTTTGGTTTAGTGGATTTAGCTCCGCTCTGTACTTTATAATTTTATTCTGTTCCCTGTTTTATTGCCTTAGCCACAAATTGTGGTCCTTTTTTGTATATTTTATGTATAAAACACAAAGTTGAATCCCAACTATTTTTAAGACAAAAGTCTGTTAAAACTTTTTTTATTGTAAAGAATATTTATTATGTGAATCTCTATTATTTTATGATATTTATTGCAAAAAAACTTTGAAAATGTACTCATGTCTGATATAACAAAATATCAATACTTAACGAAATAAGGATGACACGAAGAAAGTACATATGTTAACTATAATGCAGAAAATATATTAATTAATGAAAATGGCTCTTGAGTTCTTTTGTTGCAACAAGAAGTTGTGAGCTACTCATGCATATTCTGGGTTCTTGATTTCTGTTTTTATTTTTCCTTCCTAGTGGGATATCAGGTAGCAAGTAACTTCCTGTTGTTACTTCAAAACCACTAGTCTGTGCTCTAGTTTAGTTTACCTAATTTTAAGTTTGCTAACTACTTGTCAAGCAAGGTTTTGCAATTGGATGTATGCATTGTGCTGGACGGTGCCAGGAGGTATAGGCCCTGTTTACTTAACAGCATTTGGACATTTATTTGTGAAGGAGGAAACCATAACTTCAAGGGTTTTTCTTTTCCTTTTTTTTTTTTTTTTTTTCTTTTTTAAAGAATTCCAAATTAACATGTAAAAGTACTTTAAATTTTCCTCCATGGAACTTCTTGGCTGGTTAAATTGTATGTCAGTTGAAGCAATGAACCAATTAAGCTGAAATCTAAATAAAAACCAAGAGGCAGGATATAAAACAACATTTGTGTTTCTGCAGTTTGCTAGCTTTGAAGGTTGTGTATGCATATGGGAACGTACGTATGTGTGTGGCTTGCTTGGCTCTTTTCCCATAGTTTTCCCAATGTCAACTGAGTCTACCTTGTCTTTAAATTAAAGGCTCTTAAGGGTGACCCAAGTGTCACGGCTGTTTGTGGCCATTTAACACGTATTCAACAAAAAAGCTTTTCATTAAGAGGTTTCCCCATTCACTCTTCTGTCCGTGTGGGTCAAGGCAAACCTCGCAATTCTTTTAAAGCAAAAGGTTTATTAAAGGGATGTAATTGCACGTGGTATTCTAGGAAAGTGGTTCTAGAGAAACTCCACTTAAAGAGCATAGTAATAATCTGACAAACGTGTCGCTGCATTTTGAAATCTCGCTGCTTTGAATTGTCATACTCAAGCTGTTGTAACTCGCAGTACGCTGATGATTTGAGTAAGCTGGGCTTTTGTATCTCACTCCATCGAACTCGATCCAGTGTTGTCTGAGCTGACTGGAAGTTGTGTTCTTTATTGAATGGCTTGTATGATTTCTTCAAGGTATGCAGTGAAATTGTAATATGAATGCATCAAGGAAACCATTTGCTTTGTGGAATACAGTTGGTAATCCTGCATGTAAACATGACAGAACTTACAGGAGAGGAAGCTGGTGGGATGGCAGTGTGTACTTAAATCTGCTTTCCAAGATTTGTTCTTCTTGAGATGAACCAAAGCCAAGAAAAGAATGTTTCTGAGGAGTAAGTGACTCACTTTGAACTACTTCCTTATCACTGATTCTTCTCCAACAGTGGCAGCTGCAAACAGCCCTCGAGAGACAATGAAATCCTTGTCAAACAGTCACCATTGGTCAGATAAGACTGTTTTTAAGACTATGTATTGACCATCAAAAATACTGAGCCAAGCACATTTCCATAACTGGATACAATCCAGCTCTGCATTGAGTAAGCTTGCTTGGAATGGTGCAGGTTCTTCCTCTTCGAGGAAAGAAATATACGTTGTTGGCCTCTGCCTCTCGTTTCCAGCCAAGTACCTGAAGTGGGGACTTGCAGTTTCTTAGGAGGAACATTTGACCTATGCAGATTCAGAAGATAACTGTTCACTGTATGTCTTAATTGTTACTCTAAGTGCTGTGAACCTAGAGAAGGCAGTGTTGAGGCAGTGGAAATAACAGATTGTTGTAGATGCTGTATCTTTTGTATTTGATGTTTATCTATATTTGAGTTTACTCTTGGGTCCTTCAGAACTCAGGATTGATTGCCTTAATGTATGGAAGTGTATGTGTCCTCTCAGGCAGATTTCTGTGATGTAAGAACCTATTAGGATCACGTGAGAGCAAGTGGGTGTCTTTCTGGGGGTGGTGGCGTTAAGCAAGCTGACAGATGCACGAAGAAGCCTCCAGGACTTGGAGAGACAGAAGCTATTTTAAATTTGCTCAAAGTGGTCAGGCATTATGGTCAGTTCTACTTCCTACAATGCAGTAACTGGAATGTCCACCTAGAGATACAGTGTCATGTAAGGAGCTGAACAGACTTGCCAAATGGTAATGGAAATTTTGGTGACTGGGAGACTGAGTTCTTCAGAACTTGTCAGTGTTGCTCAGGTTACTTTCCACAAGTCAGACTGTCTGAGGTCCAGTTGCTGTTACGATGCAAATGATAATGATTTTTTAACCATTTCAGATCACTTTTATTTTGGAGGAAGAAAAAAAAAAAAGGCACTTGGTGTGTAAAAGGATTGGACATGTGTAATTAGGCAAGAAGTTCAGCTGACCTACTAACCTAATTGTATAGGTCACTGATGGATTTGAACAAGCTGGCCATCTGGTTGTATGCAGCAGAGGGCTGAAATTTCTTGTGTAGAGTCTGTGAGGAAGGAAAAAGGGAAGCTTCTGCAGGCTGGGATTCGGGTTTGTGTTTGCTTAGCACCTTGAAAACTGTGCTAAGAGATGAGTTTGGGAAGCATGTTAAGTTTCCATGTTCCTTGCTGCAAGAATATATTGTTAGGGTGAAAATTGGAGAGTTCATGTGTTGGGCTAAAGGCAGCTTCATTACACTAATTCTAGTGTGGGTGATAGTGTTATCCGGGGGGAGGTTAATGCTTAACAAATGAAAAGTACTTGCTCTTGTTTATGGTTCCGTATCATAAAGACAGGTGGGAGAGGATTAGCTCCTCTCTCTGTGATAAAACAAATCTGTTAAGAGGGATTAAAAGGGCTATATGAAATGTTTTAATGGACTTATATGAAGTAAGAGATTCCTTTTTTTTTTTTTTTCTTTTTTTTTGTCCTGGAGGAATGTTCAGGACTCACTGATGCTTTTGTGATTCTTGTTCTGCTAAAATTACCTCAAGATGCTAAGGAATCCTGAAGAACTGTTGGCTTTCTTCCAGCTGGAGCACACAGTCACAGTGGTGCATCCAGAAACCTGGGATACAGTTCTGTTCACATATCCCGCAGTTGGATTCACCAGCCTTATAAAGTGTGTGGGTGGCGCGGGTGTCCCGATTAGCATTTGTCAAGTTGCTGTCAGGGCGGATCAGAGGTAGTTATTTCCTTCCTAGCTGCAACTATTTCTCACCTTTTTCACTGATAGCAGTAGCATATTTAGTAGGTAGCCTGTTAGCCTAGCTTTATTCCCAGTGACGTGTGTCGCTCAGTTCATATTTATGACCAAGAGATACAATGCTGTTATTTTCCCTGGTGTAACACTTGCAGTTGCCACTCTTGCTTCTCCAGGTGAAGGTATCTTCAGATGAGAAACTTCCTCATTTACTTATTAGTAAATACAAACATGGGACAGATTTCCTGTAAACCACACATATTCTCACTAGGTTTAAGTATGGAGGGGTGAAACCCAGCCATACTGAATGCCATGATCTCTCAGTGCTCTTGATACACACATGCATCTGGAATAAAACCTAAGACCGCATTGTCAAAGGAAAGAGTTGCCATCCCAGGGGAATGACATTGTTACATGTATTACAAAGCAGCTTGAACATGTATTATCTGCAGCTTGAAAATACAGTTATTGTGAATTGCTCATTTTTTAAAGAATCATACATTTGTCTAACCACTGCAGAAAGGTGTAGTGGTAAGCATGCCTCTCCTGCACTGTCTTTGTATATGTGTACAGCCTGCAACTCTGAAAACAAATATCCTACAGAACACATTGTCAAAAAGCACAAATGTTTGACAGGGGCTCTACCCCAAAGGGCTGAACATTGTGTTTGTGCAATAGGGAAAACAATGGAGCTCACATCCTGCCTGACCTTTCGAGGCCACAACCGTAGTATGACTGCTTTGGTACACAGAATATTGCTTCTGAATGAAGTCAACAGATTTACACCACCTCCTATGTTCGCTTGAGGACAGCGTACAGCCACTAGTAGCTAGTGCCCAGCAGCCAGTACTGAGTGGGCTCCATCCTGGTGCTGGTTTTCTTCTCTCTTTTTCTCTTTTCTTCTTTATTTTGCAGTGATGGTATTAATTAGATTGGTTTACATGGAATGCTATATTATAAATGACTAAGATTTATCAGTATTAACATGTTCCTAGTTGATCTGTCAGAGTAACTGGGAAAAGATGCTGGAATATTCCAAGCATACGCTGAAATTATCTGGTTGATTAACTCTTTAACAGACTTTAAAGAAATTGTGCATCTTCTGGAGAACACTTCAGGATTCAGACCATCTGACAGCCCTTCTGACACTATGGGGATTCTTCTTCCACATTTAAAGCAGGAAAAAACATTGATGTTGTCTGGCCTGGGAAAGATCCTCTCAACAGCACTATTTCTTACTGATAGTGTTCAGTGAGATACTTTTGGATCTACATGTTCTGAGCAGGACACTTGAAGATGAAAATGAATAAGCCACTTGCAAGGGACAAAGGAGGAGGTGCTGTGGCTTTTTTCCATTCTCTGAATTTTGGTAGGTTGCATAGTATCTTGTTTTTAACGTCACGGCTTCCCAGCTGCCATTTTCCATTTTCAGCAAAATCTATTTCCTACTCAAATCCTTTTCCTACTGTGTCCTGTAGCACACCTCCTCTTTTCAGAGAATTGTGTGCTTGTTCGTTGTTCTACAATGCAGGCAAAGCTCTTCTAAATGAAAAAAAACCATTGTTGTGTGAGTCACCTACCCCTCAGCTACTGGGCACTCACTGCTGTAATGTGTTTCTGCAAGATCTGTCTCCCTTAAATTCACAGTGATGATGATCCTGGTTAGCCAGAGTGGGAAATACAGCTGAGTCTCAGGTTTTCATTTTGGTTCAAAGTTCAGATCCAGATATGAACTGTGCCGAAATTTGACAGCACCTAGTGTTTGTGCTTAGGTTTACCAACCTGCAGAGCTACGTAAGGAAATACAGTTGGAAATGCACAATTTCTGCTGTAATAACCAGTCAAAGGATCACTGTAGGAGCAAGTGGGGGACATAGATGAAGTCCTTCTGGAGTCTCGTATATCTTTTTGTGTGAGTTTTTCAAATCTTGAGTTTTTGAGTCGGTAGGCTTCTTTCCCCTTTCCATCTCTTGCCGCATACTGGAGCAGGAGCATTCACGTGGTGATTCCTCCCTCATTCATCACATCACCGCTGCCAGGTGCAGATAGCATCCCCTGTAATCGCTAATCCGGTTTGCTCTGCTTGCTGACAACTGTAATGTACTTGGCTGGGGACAACTTTATCTGTTCGGGTGACAAAAATTGCAATATCTCTTTACCAAGTAGCTCAGACCATTTTGAGCTTGTACTGAAAACGCATTCTTTTCATAAGGAATGACAAAAAAATCTCTGAGGAAAGCATTTCCCTTTGCTGCGGGGAAGACAAGATGAGAGGGCTGCGCAGAGCCCCAGAGGCAGCAGCTCTCCCTCTGCAGTGTGGTGTTCCACTGTAAAGTCACTCTGCTGCACAGAAAGCTGAATGAACGAGTAAATGAATGAATGGGGAAGGCAGTCAGCATCTGCCATTGTAGCACTTTCTGGAGAGT